GAACCGCGCGGTCAGGAGAATTTACATTCGAAGCCCTCAACTTGGTATCCAGGCGAGGCGAGAAGTAGCAGCCATCCTGAAAGAGCCGCTAAACTTAGATTAAAACATTGTAATTAATATAAAATGTTAAGCATATAAAAATAAAAATAATACAAAAAAAAAAAAAACAATTCTTATACTTTTTAATATATTTTTCTTCGGGAAATGGGAAACCTTTTTATTCAAGTTTTTACTTTTCAGCTGGGCAGCCCCTGGTCAAAAACCATGGTTATGGCACACTCAGCAATTTTATTCTCAACTTTTTAGCTGTTACCCACATCTGATTTTTATATATATATTTATATATTATTTTTCATTAAAACTATATTATATATTTTATTATGAGCCATATTTTTATTTACAGGTATAAATATGTATGTATGTATGTTTCCGTGCGAGGCCGGAAAGCTTTTCTTTTTCAGCATATATAATAATAAAGTACAATATTAAAACAATAAAGTAATAAGCCCGACTAGCTCATCTGAGACTGGGTTGATGTAGTGGGTCGAAGCCACACGTAAATGGGCGCCTAAGAAAAGAAAAAAGGAGAAGAAGGAGATCTAAAGAGATGGCCGTACGAGGATTTCTTTTGCGAAGTCATTCCATGCGAAGCCGCATCGATCACTTCGAGCCTGTTACGTACGCCCTTCCCCATACCAAGATTAACCCCGGCAAAACCACTGCCATTAGTTGAGGGTAGGGGCCGTAATGACTAACCACACTGCGATTGATAAAAGCAAAACAGCAAAAACAATTCGACAACTCATGGGTGTCGCGTGGCCAGAACAACGACCACGATCGACCTGCTCGTAACCGTAATCCAGTAAGGTGGCAAAGTGCACCAGCCGGCCATTGACTCCTAAAATAGGGGAAATGGAGAAACAGTACCCCTAGGTGGGAACACCTAGTTAATTCATCCAATATGGGGGCTAGCGAAAGCTCTAGTCCGGTATAAAAGACCCCAGCCAAATGGAGAAAGACAGAAATTGTTCTGATCTCTCCATGACGGTGGTCTAGAAGTGCAACTCCCGTCAACACAGACCACGACTAGAAGAAGGCTGGTGTCCAGAAAGATGTCTTGACGTTTCCCTAGGATCAACTTCACCCAGGAGAAAGTCCCGATAACCGGTCCTGCGATCGACCACAATCTGGAGGAAGTCAACCAGCAAAATCCCGAAGGACGAAAATAACTAGTGAACCAAGTGAATGGCCTAAAGACCCCAAGATGGGCGGCGAAACTTCCAAAGTGGCCGACAGCACCGCCAATGTGATTAATCACGTAGAGATCGTTGACCACAGGGACGATATTCAAGATGTCAACAGGACCCTGAAGCTCATAGCTGGACTACTACTGGTTATAGTGATCCTTAAAGTGGTCAGGATGTACAAGCGCTCTGTTCAGAGACGCCGCGACCAACATCACACCCTGGAGAAAGTGGTGACCCACATTGGAGCATAAGCCGAGCCGATACAGTGAAGTGAAACCACCAAAAAGACAATAAAAGCAGCAAAAAGACAATAGAAACAATACAAATAATAATAAATAAATTGCACTCCAATATTATAAACAAAAAAGTGAATCGCCAAAACAATCAAAAACAATTTGCGAGTACATGCATTTATGAATGCAAGTGTAAACAGAACCCCCAATTACATACGCTGAACAAGAAATTGGAGCTGCACCGACCAGCCCAGCCCGAGCATTGGAACTGACGTGTGCCTCAGTGGAACTCGCATACGATGCATACATACATACATATCTATACAGCGATAGTGTTATTTTTTTTGTGTAACATAATTTTTGTGTTTTGTTTTTGTAAACCGCCTTCAAGTCTTGCACGTATATATGTATATAAACCAATTATAAAATCTCCCAAAGCCCAGGATCCGGAGCGTCGAGATCTCATCGCCCAGGATTAAAAAGAGGGTAAGTTTGTCGGAACACGGTTCCTTTTCTCATACATACATATATATATATATATATCCGTGCACCATGATTACATCAGAAGCTTTAGCAAAAACAATAGACACTGATCCACAATTTAACGTAAGAATTTTATACTTGTTATCAAAAGCGACCCTACCAATAACAGTGAATGAATTGGAATACTTATATATTGAGACCTTCCGTCTAGATTTTTCTCCACTTGCCCACTGTAATAAGACCGAAAAGGCTATCATTATCTCCACCGTTCCAACGGTCATTGTTCTCTCCCGTCTGGATAAGAATTTGTTTTTGGGCAATGTTAATACTTTCCTAGTTAAGACAAAGAATTAATCTGTTAGGAATACATGTAATAATATATAATATCCACATATAATAATTGTTTCATATATATAATCATTTAGATATATTTTTTTCTTTTTATACCTTTTTTATACATAATAATTAAATGTTAATTTTTCAGCGGCCAGTATCAGCCTTGTAATTGTATGACAATTGCAAGAGCCCTCTGAGCGACGTTTGCAGTCGTGAATAGTCAGCATTTTGCTGATGTGTGCACCTTCACAGGTGGTCAAATCGATACCCTCCGCTAATACAATAATTGTCAATTAATTTAAAACCTATATGAATTAACCAATATTATGTTATTCAACACCGGCACACGCCGACATAAACATTATTTAATAAATTTATAATGTGAAAAAGAATTCAAAACCATGGTGTGCTAGAACTCTAACAAAGGGGGTGTGCTGACGCGAGGAGTGAAGTAGGTCAAGAACAATGACATAACTTTCGACGGACAACCTTGACAATAGGGGATCGTATTGCGAGGCCCGCGACGATCCATTGGCACACGAATGTGTGAAGGGGAGGGAATATGGCCAAAACACAGCCCGATCGTATTGCGATCAAGCGACAGTTAAGCTTGTTGGGCAGTGTGGACTGATGACTGACGACTTGATGACTATTATTATTTTTCCAGGCACTTTTAATATTTATTCTCGTTATGTTGGAGAGGAGAGAGGCTTACCAAGATCCCACGACCCAAATACGACGTAGCTTATGCCGGCAAATGGTGCCTGAACATCGGACGCCTCTCCCTCGGCCCAAGTCCTTGTCAGGACTCGGGCACTAATATGCCCACGTAACAAAAGGCTCCAAAAACAAATAAAACAACAATTAAAACTAAAGTTACTTAAATTCACAAAGCTTCGAATAATTGGGTACAAAAAATTTCATTACTTATTTGTGATGAAAATCATAGAAACAGTCTTTTTTCTGGGAAAAGCACAGGTTTATATTACATTTTCGGCAGACAATTTGAGTTTCCGATGTACAACCAGGAAGCTTACAGGTTTTTTTGTCAGCGCGTGATAAAAACATTGGAAAATGCTCGACTTTATCATAACGTACATCATTAATCGGAAGGAAAGTTTTCTTCCCTGAACAACGTTGTCACCTGCTCCACAATATATCTCGAAATTATAGCAAAAGCCAGAAGAGTCACACAAATTGAAGAATTTCACTCCCCATTTGTGTGGTTTGTCTGGTAAATATTGTCTAAGAAAGGTCTTCATCTTCGTTGCACACATTTGTTCATCCACAGATAAGCGTTGGCGCATCGGAACTGACTGAAACTTCTCATTTAAGTGATTCACGAGCGGCCGTATTTTGTATAAAGGATCGTGGTCGGTAGAATCCTTGGAGGGCAACTTACTATTATCATTAAAACGCAAATTACCTCGTATTTTTTTAAAGCGATTTCTTGACATTGTGTTCTGAATTGTTCCAAATGCGTACTCCCCCCAATATGAACGGACATTTGGGTAGCGAAAAACAGACATAAAAAATAAAATGCCAATAAATTGTCGAATTTCTAAATTGGTTGTAGAAAACGAAGTATTGACATCCTTTTGGGCAGCATACAAATTTGTTTGCTGCGTGATATGCTCAATTATAGTATCACTCAAAAAGAATTGAAAACACTTGAATGGCGTATCCAGATTTTTAAGTGCTCCGAGGTCAGGCTCAATAAAGGATATTGCAGATTTATCCATGACTAGGTTCGTTTGGCGCCACAACATCTTTTTGAAAAGCGGTGATTTTGGGTCTACAGCCCAAACAGATCCTACAAATTCAGCTATTGTGCTTGCTTTAACATGAGCAATATTTTGCTCAGCAGGCGCTTTGCGTTTGCGTTTCTGTGCTTGAGGTGAATTGGATGCAATCGAACTTGAGGGTGACAACAATTTTGCAAAAGGAGTAGAACTTCCGCTTGAAGTTACACAAATCTCTCTAGCCAACATAGAATCCGACATATGTATAACTTTCTCAATCGCTTCTTCATCTTCCTCATTGACAGGATGCGCTGCCTCGCAATCATCATCAGTCAAATCTTCCTCCAATTCTTCTTCTCCGTCCGTATCAATGTCAATATCAATTGAATTTAAAAATTTTTTAATCTCCACGTCGGAAAGAGCTGATAGCTTATTCACTTGTCGTCGCTCCATGTCTACTGAAGCAATTATTTGTACTTAAATATGTGATAGGTTGTTCCACTTTCAAACTTACCTTATAATTTTTTTTTCCCGAATTGTCCCAAGACCGCCTCTAGACGGGATACCTTATAAAAGCTATAGAAAGCTAACGAAATCTTATTTTTAGTGTGGGTTTCGTTTTTTGAGTCCTTGAGACTATCAGCAACACGGTACAATATTTTTTTCCAGCAACAAACTTTTTATAATATTTTAAAAAAATATTTATATTTTGCACTTAATTTGCAAATAATTATTTCGTCCGAGTTGCACAAATTTTCTGCTTCAAATGACTACAGCAGCTTGCGCAAGCTCTAGTATGTATTCCAAACGCAACGAACTTAATTTTTTGTACTTCCCCGAATTAGAAAAAACGCAAAACCGAGTCAAAAGGAATGAAAAGACTAAAATAACGGTGTTTTTAACCTTACCCGTCTGGAGGCGGTCTTGGGCACTAGAGGGTTAAAAACAAGCCGTCGACATTATATGTTTTTATGTACTTTTATTGGGCGTAAAAAGTTTACAGGTGTTAAAGGTATTATGTATAAAATTAGTAGACAAATTCGTGTTCTGTAGAATGTATATCTTTCTTTTACCGGTAGGATTTTTATGAATCCGAATTAACACACCAATTGTATGCGTTGTTAAACATAATCTGCCAAGGACTCTCAGCCTGTTTGGGGGAAACTTCGAAAGAAGGTGGAACATATGGCCACTGGTTCATAGCCGAGCAACGCTCTGGGTGCGGCATTAAACCCAAATGACGTCCATCAGTCGAGCAAAGTCCAGTAATTCCCCTAGGGCTGCCGTTCGGATTAAGTGGATAGAGTTCAGTGGGCTCGCCTGTATCATCAACATATTGCAGTGTCACCAACTCAGCCGACTGCAGTACGCTTATGAGCTTCTCCTCTCGGAATGCAAAACGACCTTCTCCGTGAGCCACCCAACAGCCTAGAATTAGATCTTTCATGCTTGGGAGCATGACAGAGCGATTCGATGGAATTTTCACTGTTGCCCAGCGGCACTCGAATCGCTCTGATCGGTTGTGGAGTAGGGCCACATCGGGATCTACACCAACCTCGCTGCCTGGACATCCTACAAATCCAATAAGAGTCATCAGTTGGCAACCATTGCAAATGCCCAACGAGAAAACATCTTCTCTGCGCTTGAAGGCCTGAAATTTAATGTTGGCTGCCCAGCCCTTGGCCGATCCTAGAGTGTCCGCATAGCTGAAGCCACCCGGGAAGATCAGTCCCCTATATTGGGACACGCTCGCGGTTCCTGAAACATTTAATTGGTAAATTAGTAAAGCCTTGAAATGCGGTAATTCCTTAACTCATCACTGCTCAAAATCATCATTCAGTCGACTGTGACGCCTGCAGAGCCAACTGCAACATCCGAAGAGTCATCGCTCTCACCAACCCTCTTTCTCGATCTTTCTCTCTAAAACAGCACTCCCCCATCGTAAGACAGGGACCGTGTTCCAACAAGAACAAGCAGCAATTCACCACGAAGTCGACTGCGAAGTCTTCAGAGCAGCCTGCGACGACGGCAAAGTCGAACGGCTTTCATCGGCAAAGCCGATTGAAAGATTAAATAAATTCTTCAGTAAAAATAAGAGGATTAGCTTCTATAGATTATGTGAATCATACTCAACTTAACTAAAGACATTACAATCATATTGGTATTTCTGTTAAATGTTTGTCCCATTTGGTTTGAAGAATTCTCGGCATTAATTTTTTTATTAGTTCAAGTAGAGCAAGAGAAAATGACAAGTCCATTTCGTTTGGGATATGTGAAAATATCGCATGTTTGTGTTAAAATCATTTGCTTAACAATAATATCATCTGCAAGGTCTACTAAAAAGTTTTTCCAAAAATCAGCACAGTTAAGCCGTGGTTTTAAAATGAGTTTTATTATGATAAAAAAAACAGGAATAATCACTATTTTTGATTTTTATTTTTTTCATTCAGGAATGATTAGTTTTAACTTTTATTATTTAAGTCAAAAATAGTGATGTTTATTTTTTGTTTTGTTTTTTTTATCAAGAATATTGTATGATTACGGTAAATGCAATTTTTATTTTTGTGTACGAAAAAAAATTCCTGACAGCTATTTAAATATGAGTCTCACATATCCACAATTTTCACTTCCTGGAAAAGTGTTATTTTTTTCCGCAACTGCAAAATAAATGAATGATTTAATCTTTTGACTCGTTAAATTTTGAAAACTTTTTTGTCTTATATTGGATGCAATTGGTCAGGAGGAGCCCTTGGAGCCTCCGCAAAAGAAGTTGCAGAAGACGATGAGGTGTATAAAAAACGCAACGCAAATCCCAGATACTAGTAAAAACAAGGAAGTACGCTATAGTCGAGTACCTCGACTATCAGATACCCGTTACTCAAAGGGAAATGGAAATGGAAATCAGATATGCAAGCAGCAAAGCGAAATTAAAATGCGCCACCTACCGGCGGTAGACAGATTTAAGCGTTATGAGCGTTAGAGTGGGCGTGGCAAATTTATTTTTGGATCAATCGATAGGTATTGACGACACCAATACATTTCAGTTAAAATTTTTCATCTAGCATCCAAATTGTGGGCGCCACAAGTTTTCGCGGTTTGTGGGCGTTTAAGTGGGCGTGGCAAACTTTTTTTTAGGTCAATCGATAGGTATTGATGAGAACAATACATTTCAGTTAAAATTTTCTATCTAGCATCAAAACTGTAGGAGTTTCAGTTTTGGGCGGTTTGTGGGCGTTAGAGTGGGCGTGGCAGTCTACTGAAACAAACTTGCGCTGCGTAAGAAGCTCAGGAATCTGTACGCCAAATCTCAATAGCCTAACTCTCATAGTTTCCGAGATCTCAGCGTTCATCCGGACAGACAGACGGACAGACGGACAGACGGTCAGACGGACAGACGGACAGACGGACATGGCTAGATCGACTCGGCTAGTGATCCTGATCAAGAATATATATACTTTATGGGGTCGGAAACGCTTCCTTCTGCCTGTTACATACTTTCCGACGAATCTAGTATACCCTTTTACTCTACGAGTAACGGGTATAAAAATTAAATTAAATATATTTGCTTCAAAGCGCTAAAAAACGCCTTATTAGCGCTTAAAAGGTGTTGTGTTTGCTGCTTAAAAAAGTGCTTTAATACGCGCTTTAAAGGTGGTCAATGTGTTATTTTTTTTAAGCAGTGATTAATTGTAGGACATTCCTATGTTAAATCCATCACCTTTTTTTATACAAATTGAGCTCTCGGTGATGATCTTCCCACTTTCTAGCTTTTATAGTTTCCGAGATCTCAGCGTTCATACCAGTAGCTGCTATAACAGGGAAAAGGGCTATGGGCGAGTGCTTTGACTATCAGGAACCCGTTACTCAGGTAAAGGAAGCAAAAGGAAGATGGAGATATACAAGCTGCAAAGCGAGATTGTAAAGCGTCGCCTACACGCGTTTTCAATACATGGTAATGTGGGCGGCAGACAGATTTAAGCGTTAAGGGCCCTAGTAAAGACATTATAATAAGCGTTCTAGAGCCAGCCGCTATCTTATACACATACTGCGACAACCAACCAATGTATGTGGACACATATTCTCAAGCACTGGTGGCATGCAGGCATGTAGTTCTAAGCTAATTTTGGAAGACGATTGGCTTCTATTACTATGTTTATGGTAACGGTTTCATGAGTTGCTCCTGTTTATGCGACGTGGCCGAAATCATGCATTTTATCAATCTCAGCTGACAGAGATGCCGGACCGGTTGAAAAAGGTGTGAGCGATAATTAAACCGAATATTTTTTCAATTCGCATGAAATAATCTTGCTAATATTAAAGATAATGTGTGGCAAGCCAGTATAACATTTGTTCTACCCTCAAAATAAAAGATAAAACAAGGAACAACGCTATAGTCGAGTACCTCGACTATCAGATACCCGTTACTCAAAGGGAAATGGCGATATGCAAGCAGCAAAGCGAGATTAAAATGCGCCACCTACCGGCGGAAGACAGATTTAAGCGTTATGGGCGTTAGAGTGGGCGTGGCAAATTTGTTTTTGGATCAATCGATAGGTATTGACGACACCAACATATTTCAGTTAAAATTTGTTATCTAGCATGCAAATTGTGGGCGTCACAGGTTTTCGCGGTTTGTGGGCGTTTAAGTGGGCGTGGCAAACTTTTTTTTAGGTCAATCGATAGGTATTGATGAGAACAATACATTTCAGTTAAAATTTTATATCTAGCATCAAAACTGTAGGAGTTACAGTTTTAGGCGGTTTGTGGGCGTTAGAGTGGGCGTGGCAGTCTACTGAAACAAACTTGCGCTGCGTAAGAAGCTCAGGAATCTGTACGCCAAATCTCAATAGCCTAGCTCTCATAGTTTCCGAGATCTCAGCGTTCATCCGGACAGACAGACGGACAGACGGACATGGCTAGATCGACTCGGCTAGTGATCCTGATCAAGAATATATATACTTTATGGGGTCGGAAACGCTTCCTTCTGCCTGTTACATACTTTCCGACGAATCTAGTATACCCTTTTACTCTACGAGTAATGGGTATAACATGGAAGAACGCTATAGTCGAGTGCCTCGACTATCAGATACCCGTTACTCAGCTAGTGGGACCAAATGGAAATTAAGATATGCAAGCAGCAAAGCGTGATTGAAATGCGCCACCTACCCGAGATCTCAATATGTGGTTATGTGGGCGGTACACTGATTTAAGCGTTATGTGCGTTAGAGTTGGCGTGGCAAACTTTCTTTTTGGACCAATCGATAGGGATTGAAGAGACCAATTCAGTTAAAATTTTGTATCTAGCATGAAAATTGTGGGCGCCACAGGTTTTGTCGGTTTGTGGGCGTTAGATTGGGCGTGGCATATTTGCGTAACAAACTTGTGCTGCGTACAGGGCTACGGAATTTAAATCTGAGATCCCATTTCTCTATGCTTGATAGTTTCCGTGATATTCGCGTTCATATGCACGATTTTTTTAAGTTTGTGGGCGTTAAAATGGGCGTGGCAAACTTTTGAGTCAATCGATAGGTATTGATGAGACCAATACATTTCAGTTAAAATTTTTATTTTAGCACCAAAACTGTAGGAGCCTCAGTTTTGGTGGTTTGTGGGCGTTAGAGTAGGCGTGACACATTTCTGAAACAAACTTGCGCTGAGCAGGAATCTCAGGAATCTGCATGCCTAGTCCCAGTATTGTAGCTCTTATAGTTTCCGAGATCTCGGCGTTCATACGGACAGACGGACAGACGGATAGACGGACATGGCTAGATCGACTCGGCTGGTGACCCTGATCAAGAATATATATACTTTATGGGGTCGGAAACGCTTCCTTCTGCCTGTTACATACTTTCTGACGAATCTAGTATACCCTTTTACTCTACGAGTAACGGGCATAACTAGTTTTCATTGGCACTGAATTAAAAAATAATTTGTTAAATTTAAGGTGTATTTATGTATTTATGTCGATCTGGCAACTCCGATAATTAAATAGAGTTACAAGAGTTTGATTCATGATTCATGAAATGAAAGAGTGAAATGGCCTTCGCATAAACGCAGTATATGTTGGTTAAATATTTTAAATCAATTTTAATTTATATATATAAAAACAAACAAATGTATTAATTTTATACCCTTGCAGAGGGTATATTGATCTCAGTCAGAAGTTTGCAACGCAGTGAAGAAGACGTTTCCGACCTCATAAAGTATATATATTCTTGATCAGCATGACTAGACGAGTCGATCTAGCCATGTCCGTCTGTTCGTCCGTTTCGACGCAAACTAGTCTCTCAGTATTAAAGCAATCGGGCTAAAATTTCCCAAAAGCCTTATATCTTTTGCAGGTAGTATATAAGTCGGAACCAGCCGGATCGGACAACTATGTCTTATAGCTCCCATAGGAATAATCGGGAAAAAAATATATCTTTGGTGTTTTTTAACTTATAACCTCCTAATTTTGGAAATAACATTTATTAATTAGTTTTGAATTTCGAATTAAATTTTATCAAAATCGGACGACTATATCATATAGCTGCCATAGGAACGATCGGAAAATTGGTGGGAAAATAATATGAAACCAATTATAGCTTCGGTGTTTTCTGACATATATACTATTGGGAATACCTTTTTTTGTATTTTTAAATTTAATAAATATAACTGCAAGGGTATACAAGCTTCGGCTTGCCGAAGTTATTTCCTTTCTTGTTATAACATAAAATTAATTATTTATTTGTTTGTATGTTAACTATTTAAATATTTAC